AGAGCGAGACACGCATACTCCAAATATACAGCAGGCGTCAGGGTCGGGATCGAACTCACATCCTCCTGCATACCAGGCGAGGGAGTTAACATCTCCTAGCCACTGTGATGATGATGAGAGCGAGACACGCATACTCCAAATATACAGCAGGCGTCAGGGTCGGGATCGAACTCACATCCTCCTGCATACCAGGCGAGGGAGTTAACATTTCCTAGCCACTGTGATGATGATGAGAGCGAGACACGCATACTCCAAATATACAGCAGGCGTCAGGGTCGGGATCGAACTCACATCCTCCTGCATACCAGGCGAGGGAGTTAACATTTCCTAGCCACTGTGATGATGATGAGAGCGAGACACGCATACTCCAAATATACAGCAGGCGTCAGGGTCGGGATCGAACTCACATCCTCCTGCATACCAGGCGAGGGAGTTAACATTTCCTAGCCACTGTGATGATGATGAGAGCGAGACACGCATACTCCAAATATACAGCAGGCGTCAGGGTCGGGATCGAACTCACATCCTCCTGCATACCAGGCGAGGGAGTTAACATTTCCTAGCCACTGTGATGATGATGAGAGCGAGACACGCATACTCCAAATATACAGCAGGCGTCAGGGTCGGGATCGAACTCACATCCTCCTGCATACCAGGCGAGGGAGTTAACATCTCCTAGCCACCGTGGTGCCCCAGTGGGGCAAGTTTTCTAAATGTTGCCCCTCCTAGAACCAGGGTTCAGCAGATATACAGATAGACACACGTGGGGATGGGTGGCCAGCACCACGCCCGGCCGTCTTTGTCTCCCCATTGGTGATATTTGTACACACCAGGTACTCTTTTGAGGCTGAGTCGACCTAGGTGGAGGCCCAGGACCGGTTAAGCTAATGGTGTTGGTGGTGGACGCGAATGGGAATCGAACTCAGGCGGCCGGATTTGTACTGCAGCCCGCTAACCAGTGCACCACCGCTTCCCACACATTGCATCATCATCATCACGATCCATGGGCGGATAGCCCAATAGGTGTCCACTGCACATCTCGTCATCGTACCAATATGCTAAAGTAGTGCCACACCTTTCCGGCACCAATCTCTTATGCCGTCGTCGTTGTCAAGCAATTCTCCGTTAGGTCTTCCTCTTGTTCCGGTTCCTTCCATTTTCCCCCACGACGCACTTTTAATATCGCATTGCAGAGCAAACAGACCCCGTAGCTCGACACAAATCCATGGTCGAGTCACGGTGCAAGCGTGCGGAGAAAGAGACGCGGAGATGAGGAGGCGGGACCAAGAGTAGCTCGGCGAAGACGAGACGCAGGGAGTGGAGAAGAGGCGATGGGGTTAATTGAGACGGGCTTCAGGGGAAGGCGGAGAGACGCAGGGAGGAGATGGGGGAGACGGGGCAGGGGTTGGAGAGAGGCGGTGATGCGAGTGAGAAGATGCGGACAAAAGCGATGCACGGCAGCGTGACTCAGCAAGCCCCGAGATGCCCCCGCTTTAATGCGGATTAGTCAGCCGGGGTCGTTTATTTTCCTTCTACCCCCCTCCCCTCTGCCCCCGCCTCACCACAGCCTCTCCCCCCACCCAATTTATTCCAAACTGGGTAAAGGCTCGTTGAGTCTGGAGTGATTGGGCTTTTGCCATTGCAGCTCCGAGGCTTTGGAACAGCGCTCTGCCTCTGCTAATCAGACAAGCTGTTTGAGTCTGCCTTGAAAACTCACCTCTTTAAACTGCACCCTGCAGGTTCTGTTTATTTCCTGGATTTCCATACACGGTTGGTGTCGCATTGGTGGGATCTGCGGACGAAATCCGCCACTTGACATATGGGTCTCTCTGCGAGTCATTGGTAGGGCCAGACTCATGAACTCGCTACACTGGAGAACCCAGGTCTAATAACAGCCAGGGTCTGTGCGAGTCTGTCCATCCCTATGGCAGTCTACTGGTCTCTGTGTCAGCCTGTGGTTCTCAATGCGAGTAATTGGCGACCAGGCCGAGACCATCGGCACTCTACAAGGACCCGGTTCAACCGCAACACACGGCCAAACATTAGCCTACGCGTCGCTGTGTCAATCTATGGCTCTCTGCGTGAGTCCATCTTCACCTCGCCGCACTCAAGAACCCAGTTTCATCACAGGCTGAGCTTTGAAACTTGGATCTGAACCCAGGACCTCGGCAATGCCGGCCCAGGAATCGGACTCGGGTCGCCGCGTTCTTAGCTCAGTGCTCTGACCGATGCGCCGCTGCTCTCATCTATCAATGTCACCACCGTCGTCGTCGTCATCGTCTCAAGGGATGCAACGTTCCGCCGTCCGTTGCAGTGTCGGACGGACGCGGCTTAATCCTGGGTCAAGATCTCCGTCCACAATCGATCGTTTGAGTTTTGTGGTCGCGGGTGCGGAATCTTGGACGGCTGCAGTGTTTTGCCTCCAGCCGTCGCTTGGTGCGAATCGCAAGCAATTGATTCTTACATTGCATCATTGAGTGCGCGTGTGGCGAGCCGTAAGAGTTACATTTCAGTCGCGGGCGTGGGTTGGTTCAGACGGCGAAATACTCCGTCGGTGGATTCGTAAGGGCCATGTCAAAAAGACACCTGGGCCAGAATCGCGTAAGAAAACCTGGGTTCAAGTCTAGGGTCTGGGTGTCTCTTTTTTTTCTCCCTCAATGAGGTTGAGAAAGTACCTGGGCGGCAGGGTGGCGCGGCGTTGACGCTTGTGCCTCGCGCCAAGAAGGACCTGGGTTCGATTCTAGACTCGGGCGATTCTCTGTGTGGAGTGTGTTTGCGCCCTGTTCTGCAGCGTGAGTGAGTGAGTTTGTGTGTTCCCCTCCCTGTTCTGCAGTGTGAGTGAGTGAGTATGTGTGTTCCCCTCCCTGTTCTGCATGGGTTTCCTCCGGCTTCTCATATTTACTGGCAGAGCTCAACAAAATACGATGTAACTGATATCGATTAAAACATCCCAACGGTGATAAGAATACCCCCCCTCCCCCCCACTGTGAAAATTTGGTAGGACCTTTGATGAAAGACTACCCCCCCCCCCTTCCGCTGTGAAAACTTGGTAGGACCCCTGCTAAAAGACATCATTGAATCCTCGGTGAGGCCTCCACGGGCAAACAAGCGTGGTAATAACGATGGCCGTGTCAGAGACAGTGAGCCGGCACCGCTGAGAATACTGGATTAAAGCCATGGGTGACTTTGCCTTTCATGCTCTCTCTCGCGCTCTGAAGGGGAGGGTTTCATAACACTGGTCAACATGGTTTTTTCTGGCATAAGGTATTCCAACGGTTTTGATGTCATTTTGGGGTGCTGATTCCAAATCGGGCATCAGTTTTTGTCTATCGCATCAGGTTTTTGAGATATCAAATATTGCATTTTCAATAAAAACTGCAGAAGAAAAATATTAAATAAATGTGGATATCTACATAAAATGATATTATAAACACACTATCCTAAAAATACAGCACCATATTTTAACACTAAAGCTCGCAACAACTTGCAATCATAAGTGACAGTTAATTTCGGGTAAATTCAATGAAAATGGGGTATGCCGATAGCATAAAAATGAGATGTGATAGAGCAAATCTGAGATCAGATTTGGAATCGGCACCCTGAAATTAGTCTAGAACAGCTGCAAAAGTCCAGGCCAGAATTTTTTTTTTTTGTTGACCAGTGTTATCGTTCGGAGAGAATAGCGCTGTGCCGGCACTGCGAAGAACCTGGGTTTGAACCCGGGTTTCAGCGACCTGCGATTAAACCGGATTCTCTTTAAGTGTAGCGAGTTGATGGACTCAGCTCGGTCACCAATGACTGCACGGGAAAAGCTGTCCCATAATTAACGTTCCTTTTCCAATCTTGATTTGAAGCTTTCGTGACTGCAGGAATCCGTACTCTTTGTTTCTTTCGGTAAAGTCCACGTAGTTAGAAATAAACTTTTATTTTAGTTTTATTTTAGTTTTTTTCCACTTAATTTAGCTTTACCACGGCAGAGAGAATTTCCCGTATCGGTTTGACCGCTCTGTTCGGAGCATTTCTCTCCGCAGGAGGGTGCACAGACACGTGCCGCCCCTTTATTGTGGACAGGGGGTCGCTTATCGGGATCTCGGATGTAGTTCTGTGGTAGCTCCTTCCACGGTCAGTTTTCTAACATGGGGGTCATGCACCGGGGGAGTCCAGAGGGCTGGGGGTGGGGGCTGATGGCCGTCTGCTGCCGTACTACACGTTACATCACTCTAAATCTCTCCGTGGTCTTGTCCCACCTCGCCTCTCTCCTCTCCTTCCATGACCCCTCCTCTCGTCCTCTTCATTCCCAGTCTTCTCTCTCTCCCTCCTCCCTGTGCCCTATCCCGATTCCTGCCCATAGACTCAACACTGCCCATAGACTCAACACTACACCATAGACTCAACAGTACACCATAGACTCAACACTACCCCATAGACTCAACACTGCCCATAGACTCAGCACTACACCATAGACTCAACACTGCCCATAAGTTCAACACTGCCCATAGACTCAACACTGCCCGTAGACTCAACACTGCCCGTAGACTCAACACTGCCCATAGACTCAACACTGCCCGTAGACTCAACACTGCCCATAGACTCAACACTGCCCATAGACTCAACACTGCCCATAGACTCAACACTGCCCATAGACTCAACACTGCCCATAGACTCAACACTATCCCATAGACTCAACACTGCCCATAGACTCAGCACTGCCCATAGACTCAACACAGCCCATAGACTCAACACTGCACCATAGACTCAACACTGCCCATAGACTCAACACTGCCCATAGACTCAACACTGCCCATAGACTCAACACTGCCCATAGACTCAGCACTGCCCGGAGACTCAGCACTGCCGCTGTACATTAAGCAGTCACCACCCCAGTGGCCTGGACCAAAATGTCTAAAGCAAGACGGCGAATAGAAATTAAGCGCAAAAACACCCGCGGGCAGGCGACGTTGACGCTGGCTCCGATGATGTCACCCCCCCCCCCCCCCCAGTGGAGCTGGAGGGGGAGCACGTGCGCCGGAGCTGCGAGGCGGAGCGGTCGCACGCGCTGCGCCTGCGTGAGCGCCAGCGCTTCTTCGAGGAGGCGTTCCAGCAGGACGTGGAGCACTACCTCTCCACCGGCGTGCTGCAGCTGCACAGCGCGGGGAGCGGCACGCGGCGTGAGAGGCGCACGCCGCACCGTGACACGCACGCCGCACCGTGGCACGCACACACCTGTAGTACGCAGCCGTGGTGACGCGTACACGCTCGTAGTAGAGTACAACAACTTGAACAACAACCGCCATTCGCCAGTAAGTTGCGGTGGCGTCACCACTGCGCTTGTGCCAAGCTATGTGCAGTTTAAGGCTACGTGAACTGTCGGCGCTCGCCCCACACAGCCACGCTCACCACGCTCACCACTCTCACCACGCTCACCACGCTCACCACTCTCACCACGTTCACTGCGCTCACCTCACACAGCCACACTCACCACGCTCACCGCTCTCGTCCCACACAGCCATACTCACCACGCTCACCACGCTCACCACGCTCACCACGCTCACCACGCTCACCACGCTCACCACGCTCACCACGCTCACCACTCTCACTGCGCTCGTCTCACACAGCCACGCTCACCACGCTCACCACGCTCACCACGCTCACCACGCTCACTGCGCTCGTCCCACACAGCCACGCTCACCACGCTCACCACGCTCACCACGCTCACCACGCTCGCCACGCTCACCACGCTCGCCACGCTCGCCCCACGCAGCCACGCTCGCCACACTCATTACGCTCACCACGCTCACCACGCTCGCCACGCTCACCCCACGCAGCCACGCTCGCCACACTCATTATGCTCACCACGCTCACCACGCTCACCACGCTCACCACGCTCTCGTCCCACACAGCCAAGCTCGCCACACTCACCACGCTCACCCCACACAGCCACGCTCACCACACTCACCACGCTCACCACGCTCACCACGCTCTCGTCCCACACAGCCACGCTCGCCACACTCACCACGCTCACCCCACACAGCCACGCTCACCACACTCACCACGCTCACCACGCTCACCACGCTCTCGTCCCACACAGCCAAGCTCACCGCGCTCACCACGCTCACCACACTCACCACGCTCGCCACGCTCACCACGCTCACCACGCTCACCACGCTCACCACACTCACCACACTCACCATGCTCGCCCCACACAGCCACACTCACCGCGCTCGCCCCACGCGGCCACGTTGAAGGCTCTCTGGCGGCGGGTGGGAATCTTTGTCTCGGCAGAGCCGCTGGGCAGCGTCTCCTCCATGGAGGTGAACGTCGACCTGCTGGAGCAGGTGGAGCTGCTCGACGTGTCGGACCACGAGGCCCTCGACGTCTTCCTCAACTCCCCCTCGTCTCCCTCCGTGGCGTCCGCGTCGGACTCCTCCTCCTGCTCCTCCACCGCCACGTCGGCCACCTCGTCCGTGTCCTCCATGGGACCCAGCTGCCAAACGTCCCCGCGCCACGGTGTGTGTGCGTGAGCGCGTGAGTGAGCATGTGTGAGTGAGCGTGTGTGCGCATGTGTGAGCGTGTGTGCGCATGTGTGAGCGTGTGAGCGTGCGTGTGAGCGTGCGTGTGAGCGTGTGTGCGCGCTTGCGTGTGAGTGAGCGTGTGTGTGAGCGTGTGTGTGAGCGTGCGTGTGAGTGAGCGTGTGTGTGAGTGAGCGTGTGTGTGAGTGAGCGTGTGTGTGAGCGTGCGAGTGAGCGTGCGTGTGAGCGTGCGTGTGAGCGTGCGTGTGAGCGTGCGTGTGAGCGTGCGTGCGAGCGTGCGTGTGAGCGTGCGTGTGAGCGTGCGTGTGAGCGTGCGTGCGAGCGTGCGTGCGTGCGTGCGTGCGTGCGTGCGCGCGCTTGCGTGTGTGCGCGCGCTTGCGTGTGAGTGAGCGTGTTTGTGAGCGTGCGTGTGAGCGTGCGTGCGTGTGTGCGCGCGCTTGCGTGTGTGTCTGCGTGCGTGCGTGTGTGCCTGTGCGTGCGGGGAGCAGTAGTGTCGTGGTCAGCGCACTGCGTTACCAACCCGGTGACCCGAGTTCGATTCCCGCTCACGGTCAACACCAGTGACGATTAACTACCGGTGCTGGGCCTCCCCTGGCTCGACTCAGCCTCAAATGAGTACCTGGTGTCGTGTGTAAACATCACCACTGGGGAGACAAAGGCGGCCGGGCGTGGTGCTGGCCACCCACCCCCTCGTGTGCCGTGCCGGCCTTCATAGGTGCTGTTCGCTAACAGCACTTGCCCCAACAGTCTGTTAAGGCTATACGGGGGATCTTTGTCTTTGCGTGTGTGTGCGTGTACCTAGTGTGGCGCGCCAGCTCCACCACCAGCAGCAGCAGTGAGGCGTCCGGCCCCGACTCGTCGGCGCTCTTCTCCCCCCTGCCACCCCCTCCCCTCCCCCCGCTCTCCCCCCCCACCACAACCGCCACCGCCGGCAACTTCACGGCCAACATCGCCGCCGTCGTCGCCACCGCCGTGGGGGCTAACGACGATGAAGACGAGGAGGAGGGTAACGGAGTGGCGGTCCCCTCCGTGCAGGCGGATGAGGAGGAGGTGTTTGTGGACACGGAGCTCACGGCCGCCTCGGAGGACTCGTCGCCTCGGCCCTGTGACTCGGACACTGACTAGCGGGCGGGCGGGCAGTCTCAAAATCAGTCTAACAGGTGCGGGACAGTCTTACCATCAGTCTAACGGGTGGACGGTGTAACGAGCGGTTGGTCCAGTCGAGCGGGGTGATCTGACCGCCGGCGTGTAAAGAGGAGTAGATGAACTCGCGAGTGAATAGTCAACAAGGGCAGGTGGTTTTATAATCAGACGGTGGAACGAGTGAGTTGTCCGATGAGTGGACGGTCTAACCATCAGTTTAACGAGCTAACGGTGTAGCGGGCGGACGGCCTAATGGCTAGACGGTCTAACCAGCGGCCTAGCAGGTGGCCAAGCTAACGGGTGGATGGGTATAATACGTGGACGGAGAATCTTAACGAGCATCCAGTTTATCGGATGGACAGTCTTAACCATCATTCCTAATCAGCATCCAATATAATGGGTAGTCCACTGCGTAGACAGGCTAACGATCAGACGGCCTTACATGGCGGGGGGGGGGTCTAATGATATTTCTATCTTCTGTGGAGGGTAGCCGTGCAAACAGTCCGACGAGCAGACAATCGAACAGGCAGACGGCGTTGACCGGCCGATGGCTGTAACTTTTTGGCAGCCCTAGAAGGGCTGGAAGTTTGAAGGATTGGATGCTGTCACCTAGTGATGGATGGCTGCATGGTGGAACGAATTAACGGGCAGTCTTTAACGAGCAGCAAGTGAGCAGCAGGTTTAATTAGCGCCGCCTTGCCTCGGCCAGAATCTGAATGTGCGCGACTTTGTGTGGGGGAGTGAATGAAAAATTGGGTTAACAATGAAACTAAAAACGCAAAAACGGTGTTTTTTTTGTCGCGATACTTAGAATCCATTTGGAGACCTTGCAGAGCAGTGAGAGAGACGGCCCGCAGAAGCGGACATTGCAGAACTACCCTTGAGATCCCTTCAAGTGAATTTCCATCCACGTGGTAAGGGGCAGCACTTATCTCGCACTTAACTAGCAACAAAATGAATAAGCGGACCATGTCTCCTTCGTGTCTATCCGTCTCTCCACGTGCAAAATAAAAGTGATTCTTACACCAACCCATCAGCCGTGTAGTCTGCTGGGAGAGCATCATTTCAGGAGAATTGATTCAAGACGAGCAAAACCCTGGGCCAGTTTTCGACGTTCAGCGTCTCATCAGTGGCAGGGGTCAGGTTTGCTTGAAGCAAAGCTTTGTGTGAGCTGCCGTTCCTTTACAGGCCACGTGTTTCAGGCCTGTCCGCTTGTCGAAACGCAACGGCGTGCCCGACCGCGTGTGTTTGGCCCCTTTGTCAATCCGCTGCTGGATGAAGGCCTCCCCGTGCCGTGCCAGTCCTGGGTGCTGTTTGGCCATACTTCACCACACCCGGGGTGAGCGTGAGTTGGTGAACGGGGGCAGGCACCCAGGACCACGTGTGGAGTCACGCGCCCCCAATGTCACCCGTTGCTGGGAATCTGAACCAAAAGGGGGTAGCCGGGTTTGTAGTGCAGTGCGCTGTACAACGTAATAACCGTCAATTAAAAGTAAGTTTTTTTGTAATTCATTAACATAAGCTTAAACTAGTGCCCTATCCTGGATTTAAGGCTGAAATCATCATCAGCTATGGTCGACCCTATGCTGGATTTAAGGCCTCTCCAAATCCACCGGTATCACTCACAGTCCTGTGACAGAATACTGATTCATCTCGAAGATAAAGATAATTATTTTTAGGTTGCGTCTTTAAGAGGCACTGAGGACTCGCTTTCACACTGGCCCTAATCCCTAGCACTAAGCCTGAAGACTAATGCCTCGCCAGCCTATACGTCTAGGCCTAACCCGAGCCTGAGCATTAATCTCTGCAAGCCTCGCACTTACACTAACCAGTAGCCATAGCTTTAGTCTTAGCCATAAGGTAAAGGAACAGCCCTGCAATGTCTTGCTCTCACCACTGCTGGCGTATGTACCTATGTTTGTATGTACGTCGAACTTATTTCGGGCCGTGCGTAGACCACGGCGCTAATCGGAGGTGCGCGGGAAGGGACGGCAAGCTAAACACACAAAAAGTCAAGTTTCTAAAGAAGCGAGTGGGGAAACAAGGGGCCTTCACTGCAGGCCGAGCGAGAGACGGCCCCCGCCAGGGAGGGAGTTCAATCCTCCTCCGTCACACTCGGAAGAGGCGGGAGTTCACCCACACTTTTACCCCGTCGCACGCGACCTGCCGGTCGTCGACTGAGCTAGCTGCCTCATACCCCTCGATGCTGCTTGGTTGACACTAGTGGCAGGAGGAGGAGGAGGGGGGGAGATTTTAAAACTTACAAACTTACATTTTTTTTTTCTCGGTTGCCTTGCCCGGGAGTTCTAGCCAGTGACCTCTGGATTGCAAGTCCAGTTTACTAACCACATGCCAACGCCAATGACCTCGGCATTTTATTCCGTATTTAATAATGATATTATTATTATTGTTGAGCCTCAGGTGGGCGCTGCTACAATGAGATGTTTGGCCAATGCCATTAATAAGCGCGCACATTATTTTTCGCCCATCGTTCCCAAGGCAGGACCCTCCTGGAAAAAGAGAAGTCTTGAGACTCGGTTGAGTAAAATTAGCAAGTGGTGTGCTGCTCTTCCTGTGTATGGGATTGTTTGAGGTGTGTTATCCCCACGTTGGATTCGATTTTCTCCAAACGCACGGTTTTACTCGCATAATAACGATAATAATACTTTACATCCCCTTGCTAATCCACTGCTGGATGAGTGCCCTGCCTATGCTGTGTCGGTGGGCAGAAATTAATCTGTGAACCTCCTGGCAGAGGTCGCAATCGGGTACCTGATACCCGTACCCTACCCGATACCCGGCTACCCGTACCCGGCCGGGTACGGGTAGCCGTTTGCGACCCTGGTGCGGCCGGGTACGGGTACGGGTAAGGAATCAAAACCCGTTTGCGACCTCTGCCTCCTGGACATCTGTGATGAAAGAGATTCATAGGTTTATCGGATTCCTCGAGTCTAAATAAAGATTCTGATGGAAAAAAAATGAAAGATTGTGATTCTGACATTCGTGTCGGATGAGTGTTCGACTTTCCTCAACGTGGCACTTGCTTTGTAGGCCTTGCGGGGATGATTAGTCGAGTCCACCCGTGACCAGGATTTGAACTTGGAAACTTGAGATTGTGAGCTGATCGATCTTAACTCACACCACCGCCCGGACTAATGATCACTCAACTGGTGCAGGGTAATAACGATCCACCGCTTAATAGATTTATAATAAATCTCAACATCTTCGTCAGTGATAGTTCACCAACGCTTACGATAAATGAAGCCTCTGGTGTGCGTTTTGAGAATCGGCTACTTTCATTCCGTAATAAATTTTTCCCGGTCGGGTCGCATAAATAACGTTGTGTCGGATACCCCTCCTCCACCCGACGCAGCTCGATTAATAAACTTGGCACGTGGTGAATGCGCGTGGCCAGTTCATCACCGCTTCAGCAGCGGCACCCACCCCTGGCATTGCTGGTGAGTAATCATTTCGCGACATTTGACAACTCTGCTACGGTGCGGCGTCAAATTTTTATCCCGATTCGTACGCTTAAGTTTAAATTTTTTTTTTATTTATCTGTGAGCCTTTCGGCTCTTGAATCGGGTGCAACCGCAACAAACAAAAAACAAAAACATGAACAAGAAAACATCTTAAAGTGACTGTGCGTAAACAGAAAAATCCAGGAAAAGACAGCAAAATATTCCAGAAAAAGCACCGTACACCAACGCTGTGTGCAAAAATCCCAGTGGGATGCAAGTCAAACAACAACAACCACAAGACAACTTACATTAAAGCCATCAGTCTAACTCCGTACTACAACAAAGCTTCAACAAGCTTGATGTCTGCAATTGGCTCGCGGACAGCCCTGCCAGCCACAAGAGAATGCTGCCGTTCACCACAGCGTTGGGGAAAGATGAACAAAACACCCATGTCAGTAGAGGATTACCTCAATCCGGTTGTGGTCCCGAATCACGGAAATGTCTGGGTTTTCAAGCCTCATGGATCAATTGTATGCGTGACACTTGAAGCTACCAAACGGCCGCTGGTGGTGTTGGCGCTGGTGGTTGTTTCTTAATGGACGTGTCCTGGTCAGTGGTGTGTGTGTGTGTCCCCCCCCCCCCGAAGCTTTTGTGACACTTGGGATATTCCGTCCCTTTTAATTGTTTTATGTTCTGACCTCATGCCAATATAAATAAACTACGATAAATTTTAAATCCAATATGGTAAACCTAGACCGATATTAATGACCTTTCGAAACGATATGAAAGACTTTTCTTAATTCTAGATTTGAAGCTTTCGTAACTGCAAGGATTCATATTCTTAGGTTTTTTCGGTAAAGTCACGTGGGTAAAAAATTTCAATTAATAAAAGTAACATAAAAATAAAATAAAATCACGACGTTTTGGAGGCAACACAAGCTTCCGTCTTCAGGTGGAACCGTCACAGCACGATAGCTGTATCAAGTGAGAGAAATTCCAAGAAAACAGTCCTTGTATATATACTGGCTGAGGGTGGGAGAAGCCAAGGTAGGCCCTGAATATTATTTTCCTAAGCTCAATTATCGCAAACAACGTGGTTTTTTCAGAGTAGCCAGCGACCACATCACGCCACGCTTGCATTGACATTCGTTTTTATATTTGCGCGCAGTTACGAGCCAGTTAGGATTCCTCACGAAATGGATGAAAAAAAAAACTGGCTTCAAAGGTTGACTTTCGTCGTTCACACGTTAATTTCTCAGAACCATGTTGGGTCAGACAAGGGGGTTACTCGGTTTAGACAAAATTGAACAAGGAGGCTGACACGGGTAGCCCAAAAAATGTTGAGAACCACCCGACTCAACTGATCGCCGATACTTCAATTCGATTGCCGGGTGGCAAAAATTTAATCGACTTTGGTGCGTGAACATTGGTTGGGTTTATTTTATGTCTGAAGGTCGTCATCGTCGTGAGATGTGAGGATAATTAAAATGTAAAGCGACGCGCACCCCCGTTCCAGTAAAGATTTGCCTAACAATAACAACGGTTAGCACGCAGCAGTGTGAACTCGAGTTAAGTTGCGTTATCTTCTTGGTTCTTTCGGTAAAGTCGTGTAGAAGGGAAATAATAAAATAAAAAAAATCAATAAAATAATTCTCACGACGTTTCGGCCACAACGCAAGCAGCCGTCCTCAGGTGAAGAACAGGTCTGTCGGAAAGTCTGAATGACACTGTCTTTCCGACAGACCTGTTCTTCACCTGAGGACGGCTGCTTGCGTTGTGGCCGAAACGTCGTGAGAATTATTTTATTATGTTTTATTTTTATTATTTTATTATTTCCCTTCTACGTGACTCTACCGAAAGAACCAAGAAGAGGAATTCCTGCAGTCACGAAAGCTTTAAATCGAAATTTAAGTTGCGTTAGTTTGCGTTATTGTTGAGTAGTGGGAGAGTGGCGGTCACACGATGAACAGTTTTTTGTCTACGTGTCCTAATGTAACCGGGGACTGTTGAACGCTTCAGCGTGTAATTTGGTGGTGTTCCATAACTATTATTGTCAGAATGTATTTGTCTTAAAGTACCTGTGTGTGTGTGTGTAAGGAGAAGGTGGGCGGGGGGGGGGGGGGAAATATTTTGGCGGGATCAAAAAGTTATTTCGGAAATAGCTGCCGCTAAAACGTTTACGTTGGTGCATGTGTTTTTTAGCCCCCCCAAAAGTATTTAAAACACCGGTATAACGTGTAGTTTTATACAAGCATAACGAGATTTTACCGCTCAACAATGAAATTTTATTATTTGCGAGACAGCGGAATTGTACGCGCAAATACCTCTTTGGCATTACTACGGCGGGTTGAAAGGCGTTTAAAAAAAATGTTAAAATCATCGAGTGCGTTTGATATTCACGCCGTTCTTATAGCGCAAAGGCTGTGTCGTGAAGGAAATTATTATATTTCACGGACACGTTTTTGTCTGTCGGTAGGGTGGCGATTTTACCACGTGGCTTTACCCAGCTGAGTAATTTGTGAGGTGCAATAATGTACAGGGACACCTCTACTTACGAACATTCGACCTTCGAACTTTCAGAGATACGAACAAACCTGTCCGTATGTCCAGTCGTCTGTTCGGACCGAGAGTTGTAAGTTCAACCGCCGCGCAATAGATGGCGGTGGTGGCATCTACATCTGCAGAAGGTGAAGAACCAGTGACATCTACATCTGCAGAAGGTGAAGAACCAGTGGCATCTACATCTACAGAACGTGAAGAACCAGTGACATCTATATCTGCAGAAGGTGAAGAACCAGTGGCATCTACATCTGCAGAAGGTGAAGAACCAGTGGCATCTATATCTGCAGAAGGTGAAGAACCAGTGGCATCTACATCTACAGAACGTAAAGAACCAGTGGCATCTACATCTGCAGATGGTGAAGAACCAGTGGCATCTACATCTGCAGAAGGTGAAGAACCAGTGGCATCTACATCTGCAGAACGTGAAGAACCAGTGGCATCTACATCTCCAGAACGTGAAGAACTAGTGGCATCTACATCTGCAGAACGTGAAGAACCAGTGGCATCTACATCTGCAGAACGTGAAGAACCAGCGGCATCTACAGAACATGAAGAACCAGTGGCATCTACATCTGTAGAACATGAAGAACCAGTGGCATCTACATCTGTAGAACGTGAAGAACCAGCGGCATCTACAGAACATGAAGAACCAGTGGCATCTACATCTGTAGAACATGAAGAACCAGTGGCATCTACATCTGTAGAACATGAAGAACCAGTGGCATCTGCAGAACGTGAAGAACCAGTGGCATCTACATCTGCAGAACGTGAGGAACCAGTGGCATCTACATCTGCAGAGACTACAACTTTTAAAGCTATTTCCCCGTGCTTAGTGTACACGCCGTACAACACGCTTGGAATCGACAGGAGTAAAGTTGGACTTGCGAACAAATAGACTTACGAACAGACCTCTGGAACCTAACTAGTTCGTAAGTAGAGGAGTCCCTGTACCTGTATTTAGCAAATTGGACCGTGAAGTCGGCGCACGATTGGTCGACTTCTTCCGCCGGTTACCGCCGCGTAGCCAATCGCGGGGCAAGACTACGGGCAGTCGGATGACGGCTCTCAACCAATCGGATGCCACCGTCGATGTTTAATTCGCCGTTTGTGACGTGTTCCCGTTTTTTTTAATCGGCTCTGCGAGAACCACGTGATCGGAGATTCTCGGAAGCGGATTAGCTGCTCGACCACCTCCAATCGTTGCGGTTCAGCAAACCTCGCGTCTGGTATTTTCCACTGCGCAACTGAGCTGTGCTGGGGGCAGAGGTCGCAAACGGGTTTTGATTCCTTACCCGTACCCGGCCGCACCAGGGTCGCAAACGGGTACCCGTACCCTACCCGTTACCAGGCTGGGTACGGGTAAGGTACGGGTATCGGGTACCTGATTGCGACTTCTGGGATGAAGCCAAGTTGCAGGCGCGGGTGGGTTGATTCTAGGAACTTGAATTGTGAGAAGAGACAAGACGTGGGGAAATGAGTGACAAACAGTTACTCACCAGTGACTCACGCCCTACCCGTACCCGGCCGCACCAGGGTCGCAAACGGGTACCCGTACCCGGCCGGGTACGGGTAGCCGGGTATCGGGTAGGGTACGGGTATCGGGTACCCGGTTGCGACCTCTGGCTGGAGGCACGCGCCTGCACATCCGGCACTGTGGAGAGGCCGAGTGGGTTGGGTGGGGGTCGAGGAGGTGCCACACGCCGGTTCGCGCCGGGAGAAGGCGGTTACAGCGAGTGGGTTAATCGCCATCCGTTTCCATCTGTACGGGGTACAAAGTGTTGCCCTCGGTCCTCCCTCCTCAAACGCGCGTGTGAGCTTTCGCCGGGTGCTCTGGTATCCTCCACACTTGCGTAAGCAACTTCGACTCGTCATTAATTGGCTGAAAACATCTGAGGAGTAAAAACACGCAGTGTAGCGGCGGCATGGACCCTCATGAACGAGAGCCATATGACTCTGTGTGGGCTCTCTTGGATTAAAAAGGGTGAGTATAGTAATTGGTTTTTACCCTTTCAACTGGTACAAAAACTGACACCTTTATACAAGGCATCATGTTTGCAATAACCACAACACAAGCAGTCAAAATGCAAACAAAAAGAAACAACTCTGATGATGATAATGATATGCACTGTCCTTGAAGTTGATTGGTCCACACCCGAGACAGCTTTTCTTAGAGCCTAGTCTCCATTGGTGTCGGACCAGATGACGCCAAAAGGCGTACACCTCAAAGACAGTGCACTAAGTAAATACGTATTTAAGAATCGGAGTCATTCTGCTTATTTAACGTTAGCCCTGGCCCTGCTTGGCCCCGAGCCAGAATCAGACGTCTGGTGAGGCCAGCGTAGCGTGGTTTGGTTCCGGCTCGCCTTGGCCAATTAGCCAGTGGGAAAACCAAGCCCGTATAGTGAGCATTCCGTGCTGGCTTGGTTTGGGTGTGCCAGTGGAAAAGTGATGTATCGGTTATTGTACACGGATTGTCCAGATCGAGTACCAATATTAATAGTACAATGCAATGTATTTATCATTCTCATTTGTTGATGTGCGGGTTTGTATCTTTAAATCTGTATTAATGTTACAAGTCGAGTCTTTGTTCAACCATTTAGTACCAATCAGGCCTACATTGTATCCTGTTAAAAGTAAAATATACCGTGTCTCCACTGAGACACAGAGCGGAGAGTGTCTCCACTGAGACACCGAACGACACAGAGGGGGGGAGAGTGCTGATGAATAGGATGTCATGCCCGATTCCCTATTTGTTTAGTAGCCCATCCAGGCCAGTGAGCAGGCTCAACTCCGCTTAGCATCTGTGTTCCAACGAGCTCGGCTCTGAATATGCAATGAACGTTTTCACTGTGCGGCAGTAAAATCCGTGAGACGTGGGTCACACGTGGGTAACACGTGGGTCAGACGTCATCCTAAACCACAAAGTCTTTGATGTGTCCCTCAAGTTCTATTAAAATTCCTTGCACTCTGACACGGGGGCCTCCTTGTTGTTGTTGTTGTATTTGAAAAGTCGACATCTGACTATGACGACGAGTGGAGGACAATTGATAACGGTGAAATACAATTCATGATAGTTGTGAAATACAATTATGAGTTGGAGGAGATTTCGTGAAGCGGCTACCCTCCTCCGCCGCAGCTGTTCTGCAGTCACGTGGTCTTCCCGTCACGCAGTGGCAGGCTGCCACTGCAGTGTCACCGCTGGACACTGAAATCGGTCTCCATCGCAAAGCCCCACGAGCCACTGGGCTGCCCCAGGTGGCCTTGAGTGCGGGCCCCCTGACGTGCCGCCTCCCCGACCGACAACACGAGTGAGGACACCCCCCCCCCCACCCCCAAATCGTCATAATCTTCGTGCTGCTGTCAAAGCCCCCAATGATGTCAACTACCTCTCCTGGTGCACAGGAGGTCGCGGGTTCGATCCCAACCCTGACAACGCCTGCTCTATATTTGGAGTTTGCGTGTCTCATCATCATCACGGTGGTGAGATGTTAACTACCTCGCCTGGTGCACAGGAGGTCGCGGGTTCGATCCTGACCCTGGTAATGCCTGCTGTATATTTGGAGTTTGCGTCTCATCATCATCACGGTGGTGAGATGTTAACTACCTCGCCTGGTGCACAGGAGGTCGCGGGTTCGATCCCAACCCTAACAACGCCTGCTCTATATTTGGAGTGTGCGTGTCTCATCATCATCACGGTGGTGAAATGTTAACTACCTCTCCTGGTGCACAGGAGGTCGCGGGTTCGATCCCAACCCTGACAACGCCTGCTCTATATTTGGAGTTTGCGTCTCTCTCATCATCATCACGGTGGTGAGATGTTAACTACCTCGCCTGGTGCACAGGAGGTCGCGGGTTCGATCCCGACCCTGGTAATGCCTGCTGTATATTTGGAGTTTGCGTCTCTCTCATCATCATCACGGTGGTGAGATGTTAACTACCTCGCCTGGTGCACAGGAGGTCGCGGGTTCGATCCCGACCCTGACAACGCCTGCTCTATATTTGGAGTTTGCGTGTCTCATCATCATCACGGTGGTGAGACGTTAACTACCTCGCC